AGGACTAATGTCTGTGGAGAAAGGGGTTCCGTTTGGATTTCCGCTCTGGGACCCGAGGGAGCAGCGGAGAACGCCGCACTGGGAGGCGAGGGGGCGCGGCAAGGCCCGCGTCCTGGGCAGCAAAGGCCAGGCCCCGGCCCGCGTGTGTTTCTTACCGGAGCTGGGAAACAGAGGGTCACCGGTGCGAGAAAAAATGTGGGTCCCCTGGTACGGGCTCATCGTGATTGGGAAGAAAATGGAGCTTCTGGGTAGAAACAAGCAAAAGCCTAGGAAGCCGGAGCCTGAGACGAAGTTCCCGGGACTGGAAGACGAGGAAACGGTCCGGAAAGCGAGGTCGGGCCTGAGTCAGGAAAGGAACGTGCGGCTCCTGCACCTGGTCGCCAGCGTGTTACACTCTTCAGCGGGTTTTGTAAAGGAGAGCCCGAAGGAAGCGTGGGCGAAGCCAGAAGTCAGCCGCAAAACCAGGGTTGACGTTGGGAGCGCGGGGACTCCCACGGGGTCGAGGAGGCCGTCTGGGCTGAAAGAGGCGCCGAGGTTTCCCGGGGTGAGGACCAGCAGAGAGGACATGAGATCCCGAGGGTACAAACCAGGGCGGAATGAGGAGAGGTTGAGCATCAGTGGAGGGAAGCTGAGGTTGAACGAAGAGAAGAGGCGATCCAGAGGGGAGAAGATGGGGACTGGTGGGGAGGATGTGAAGGGTTCAGGAATGGGGAGCACAAGCGAAGACAAAACGGAGAGAGTGGTCGTGAAAGAGATACTGGCGCTGAGATAGAAATTCCTTTTCAACGGGTGGAAGGCGAGGAGCCTGAGGACGGGGTGGAAGTTGAGGAGGATGTCTTGGTGGAGTGAATGATATTATGGATGAATCTGTTCCTATGGAAAAGAAAGAGGCTATAGAGGAAGTTACAGGTGAATGAGGCAGATGAAGGATTGGAGCTAAAGAAGGGAAGAGAAGCAGTTAGAGGAAGTATTGCAAGTCAGTGAGGAGAAATTGTTGACCCTGAAAGAGTAAATATGAGAGAGGGAAGGAGGCATCTAAGCCTAAGACAGCGAGAATGAAGAGCTCCCGGAGTTGAAGGCAGAGAGACCAAGGCCAAAGGAAACAAAGAAGAGTGGTGAAGGAGATGGGAACATTTTGAGGAGAAAGAAAATATTTGAAAATGTGTTAATACGTAAAGAAAAATTGGATATTAGTTTCTTGGAGAAGAGCTGTAAACCAAGGAGCTTGTAGAGAAATATCTGAGAAATGGATTTAGGATGGGCTATAAGGATTTGGTTTGCATAGTAAGAATGCAGTGAGAAAAACGAAAAACTACAGCACGATAAAGGATAAATAATGAACATTATTGGAGGAACATAAATGAACGTTATGGAGGAAGATACAGGCCAGAGCAAGCAAAGAAAATTTCTGAATGAGGATCCTAAAGATGGACGAGGGACTCTACAGAGACAAAAGCAAGAAAAGAGAGAGATAAGAAAATAAACAAATGAAGAAAAAAAAGTAAGAAGCCAAATCTCATAATAGTGATTATGTGTGATTAAAGTCATTTCGTTCACTGTTTCTGTGCCCTCCTCTCCCATGTAGCCAATTTTATAATGTAATGGAACAGGCCTCTCACAGGGCCTGTATATCTGGACCAAGCCCATTCTCATTGGTCTTCCCTGTCATTATTCCCCACTATCCTATAATTTCCAAGTTGTTGCTGTTTATAAACGCAGTTTTGAATAATTGCTGGGCTCCACTATTTTAATCACTTCACCATGATCGCCATTTCCACAGGTTTCCCTCACCTCCACATCAAATTTGAATTGCTCATATTGATTTGAAGTTGTCTCAATTATTTGTATTGTTTCATTTTTGATTTTTAATTATTCACATAATCACATGGACTTTTCCCCTTGTGTTTGTGTCCTTTGGTACTTTTTTAAAAAACCTATTTTTTTTATTGATATCAGAGAGGAAGGGAGAGGGAAAGGAAGATAGAAACATCAATGATGAGAGATAACCATTGATCAGCTGCCTCCTGCACACCCCACACTGGGAATCAAATCTGCACCGTAACTCAGGCATGTGCCCTGACCAGGAATTGAACCATGACTTCCTGGTTCATAGGTCGAGGCTCAACCACTGAGCCATGCTGGCCGGGCCTTTGGGACCTTTTTAAATGTCTTGCCCTGACCAGTTTGGCTCTCCCTTCCTCTCTGTAAAAAATCAATAAAATATACTGAAAAATAAAATAAAAAATAAATCTCTTCCACATGCTACCCACTGTCTACTCTCATTCCAGGGAAGAGAGAAGACTCCCTGAGTGCCCACTGTCAAGACATCAATGTCAAGATTTAGGCTCTTACATCCTGTTGTCTCTTGGATAGGACAACAATCATGGATAGTTCGGATGAAAGGAATACGTAACCCATTTTTCTCCAGGTATTTTTAAAAGTCTGTAAAATATCTAAGGAGTAGAAACTTCATATAACATAAACACAAGTATCATAATACAAATTTATAATAGCCTCATGTTTTTTAATTGTTAAGTTTCCTACATGCCCTTTACTAATTTTCCCCAGTCTCCAAAAGATATGTAAACCCCATGCAATATTTTCATTTATGTGGTCAAACCTAACAGATAATGTATCAATTCAGTTTTGTCCACTGGAATTTTCTTTTTTGGAGTCCTTCATCCTTTGGGTTTAATGTAGGGTAGTTGTGTCCTAGGCTTGCTCCATAGCTGCTTTCCTGGGCTTCTTAAGGCTTCTCTTGTGGGGAGACCGGTAGGGAGGAGGAAGAAGGTATAGCGGGGATAAATGGTGGTGGAAAAACAAAACAAAATGAAATTTAAAAATAATTTAAAAAATCACCCTTGCCAGTTTGGCTCAGTGGTTGGAGCATTGGCCTGCAGACTGAAGCGTCCCCGGTTAGATTCAGGCCAAGGGCTTATACCTTGGTTGCAGGCTCCTACCGGGTCTGGGCTCATGCGGGAGGCAACCAATCGATGTGTTTCTCTCACATCGATATTTCTCTCTGTCTTTCCCTCTCTCTAAAAAAAAAAATAAATGGAAAAATATCCTCAGGTGAGGATTAAAAAATAGTAATAAAAAGTAAAAATAATAATAAAAATAAAAGTAAGCTATAAAAAAAATTCTCTCTGTTCTGTGTTGAATCTCCTACTGCCTGGATCTTAAACCTTCTTCCTCTTTCTTGTTTTACAGGATCATTTTGGTCAACCACCTCATCTAATAGCTTCCAGAGAAAGTGACCATAGGAGGTAAACTTTGTGACACCTTATCTGTCTGAAAATGTTGATTCTTCGCTCATAGTTTATTGATAGTTTAGCTGGGTATGGGATTCTAGGTTAGAAATACTTTTCCCTTGGAATTTTCTCTTTCTCTGTAGCACTCATCACTCTCTGACTCAGGGTTTTCCTCCTGTAGTTTATTATCTATCTCTTCTTCACTAGAATGTAAGCTCCATGAGGGAATCAGTGTGTGTCTGCTGGGTTACCTGGTTTAGTCGCTGTCAAACAAACATATAGTAGGCACTCAGATATATTTGTGGTATGAAACAATCCATCAGATTCAGTGATTTTACCTGGCTCAATACTATTAAACACCTATTGAGGAATTGCTGTAATAATTTACACTGTTCTTAGATTATCTCAAACTTTTTGAAGCCTCAAATGCCTAAAAAGTCTCTATTCCAGCCCTAGCTGGTTTGGCTCAATGGATAGAGCGTTAGCCTGCAGACCAAAGGGTCCCAAGTTCGATTCCAGTCAAGGGCATGTACCTCAGTTGCAGGCCAGAGCCCTGGTCAGGGCTCTTGCAGGAGGCAACCAAAGCCAACCAACTTGATATTTCTCTTTGTTTTTCCCCTTTCTTTCACTCTCTCTAAAAATCAATGGAAATATATCCTCGGGTGAGGATTAAAAAAAAAGTCTCTATTCCATACCTGAGGTTTGTGTAGGTACAGAATTTTCCCTCAGCAGTTTGAAGGCATGCCCCTTTGTTTTGTCCCTTCAAGCATGGCCATTGAGAGTCCAGATCTATTTTTATGCTTAAGCTATTGTACATGACCAGGAGTTCTGTGTATGTGGCCTGTTTTCTTCTACTTGTCTCCATATTTCTGTTCATTTATTTATTTTATTTATTTTAAATATGTTTTTATTGATTTCATAGAGGAAGGGAGAGAGAGAGAAATATCAATGATGAGAGAGAATCATTGATGGGCTGCCTCCTGCATGCCCCCTATTGGGGATCGAGCCTGCAACCAGGCATGTGCCCTGACTGGGAATCAAACCCTGACCTTTTGGTTCATAGGTCGATGCTCAACCACTGAGCCACCACAGCCTGGCTGCTTATTTACTGATGAGAAGTTTATAGCTTGTGCTTTCTTCCATTCTCAAGGAACTCTAATCCCATAGTTGGACAATAAAGTAGAGATATTGGGTATGGGCAGAGTTGGAAAGATAAGCTACAGAAGGCTCAACTCTCAGAGTAGGAGCTTTTTGACAAATGATGATAGCTAACATTTACTGAATTTATAATAATCAGAATAATTTCACAGGCATTATGCTAAGCACTGTACATGTTCTCTATCATGTAAGCTGTCCAACAACTCTGAGGTAGGAACTCTTACTCTGTCAACTGTCCCAACTAGAAACTGCAAGGGCCAGGCTTGAGCCCAGGCAGCCTGACCCCAGAGCCACACGCTGCTAGATGACCACCTCGATTTTATAACCTGCCAAAGCCAGGGCTCTGAGCCTACCCGGGGGGCAGGGAATGAGGCTGTGCAACAACCCTCCCATTCATTCAGTGAATGCTTGTTGAATGAGTGCTTCAGTGGCAAGTTTTTAGGACCATAAATGCCAAAAAACAATGATGTTTATTTTTTCCCCAGATCTCTGCCTTCCCGAGATCATCCACTCCTAGCCTCCTCTGGTGGGGTCCTCTGAGCACCGAGAACTTGTTGCCTCTCTTAGAAGAGGCCTGCACTTGCATGAGGCCAAGATGGACACTTTTCTGTTGTGTGGGTGTCAGATTACACTGCACAGTATATACATTATGAACCAAACAATCAGACTTTTTCTTTGGCTGCATTACATTTTCTCTTGGGATAACAGATGCATTTCACTGAAGCTGCAGAAAGAAAAAGTGAAGATCAAGAACCTGTGGGAAATGGCAGCCACCTTATAGGTATAGATATTTTCCCTCACCTCGGTAGCTAGTACTTTATCATATCCCTTTTGACTAGAATTAACCAAAATGCACACAGTTCAGAGAATTGAGGGCTCCTGAGTGATTTTTTAACATTTTTTAAAATATATTTTTATTGATTTTTATAGAGAGGAAGGGAGAGAGATAGAGAGTTAGAAACATCGATGAGAGAGAAACATAGATCAGCTGCCTCCTGTACACTCCCCACTGGGGATGTGCCCACAACCAAGGTACATGCCCTTGACCAGAATCGAACCTGGGACCCTTGAGTCCGCAGGCCGATGCTCTATCCACTGAGCCAAACCGGTCAGGGCCTGAGTGATTTTTTAACATATTTTTATTATCCTATTTTTTCTTTGCACATTCTCCCAAATCCCTGTTTCTTGCAACAGGATGTGTTTAAAGTGACATTATTGTTTGGTTTTATTAAAATGTCCTCTTAGTCTGTCCCAGTCATTCATTCAGCAAATACTGAACATGCACTATGTGCCAGTTGGGAAGGCAGCCAAAGTGTAGGGCTAGGCCTTGCCCTTGGCCTCCTTTCTCATGTTGAGACAGATGTCTCAACAAGTAGATCACCATGCATTGTGAGATGGGTTAGCAGGGAGCTATGTACCAGGTATGGTGGGAACCACAGAGAAGGGAAGGCCCGACCCCAGGGGGGCTAGTCAGGGAGGTGATCAGAGAAGGCTTTGTGGTGGAGATAACCATTTTAGGCTGGACTTAAAAGGGTGAGAAGGTAACAATGGATGAGAAAAGGACACATAAACATTCTAAGCAGAAAGAATAGTGTTGCCAAGGTACAGTGACCAGAACCTGCATGGCTCATTCAGGAAAAGGTAAAGAGGGTATTCTAGAGACTGGTAGGATGTGAGCTTGGGCAGAGCCTAGGGACAGCCTTGATACAGGATTAAGGAAGTTAGCCTTTGTTCTGTAGGTACAGGGAGAATGACAGCATTTATGTAAAGCATCAGATCTTTGCTTTACATAAAGTTCCAAGCCGAGAGATCTAAATCAACTGGGTACAGCGTGGGAGTGGGTCAGAGGGGGTCACTGAGTGGTGCTCAGTAAATCAGGAGGTGCAATTATTAGCTCATAATGAATAGGGTAGAGAGGATGAGGCTATGAACTAAGGCAGACAAATGGAAATGAAGAGAAGATAGATTGGATTGTGTTTTAGATGTCCTATTTAGCAGGATTTCCTGACTGTGAATGGATGGTGAGGAGGGAGGCACCAAGCTTAGAGATAATAGTAGTTGCTCTATATCTTCAACCTTACTCTGCAGTTAGGCGCTTTGCACGCAGTATATCATCTAATCCCACAATAGCCTTATGGGAGGGGTTGTATTATTATCCAAATTTTATAGATGAGGAAGTTGGAGCCCAGAGTGGTCAATCAAAGTGACAAGGCAGGTATGTTGTGATGGTAGTCAGGATATGAACCCAAGGGAATCAGCACCCTTAGCCGCTACTAGCTTCTGCAGCTGACTGGATTTCAGTGCCAAGTGATGGGGAGGTGAAGTGACCACCCTGAGAAGCAGTTAACGAATAGCAGATTCAGGCCTGGATCCCTCTGGAAGCACCTACTACTTCCCAGAGTTCACACACAGGCTGCCTGGGTACCATCAGACTACAGATGTGTTGTGTTTGGTCCATAGAGTTGTTTTTTTCCCTTTTTCTTTCTTTTTTAGAGAGAAAGGAAGGAAGGAGGAGGGGGGGGGATAGAGAGAGAGAGAAATTGATCAGCTGCCTCCTGCATGCCCCCTACTGGGGATTGAGCCTGCAACCTAGGCATGTGCCCTGATCAGGAATCAAACCAGTGACCTTTTGGTACATAAGACGATAGATACTCAACTAACTGAGCCAAACCAGTAAGGGTTTTTTTTCCTTTTTAAATTACAATTGATATTCAATATTATTTCATACTAGAGGCCCGATGCATGAAATTCGTGCAAGAGTAGGCCTTCCTTCCCCCGGCTGCCGGCCTTGGCTTCCCTCTGGCACCTGGGACCCAGGCTTCCCTCTGGCCGGCCGCCGGCAGGCCCCTGGGCCCTGGGCTTCCCTCACAGCCCCAGCTTCATCCTGAAGGTTGTCCGAAAGGACGTCTGGTCTGTGACAAGCTGGTCCAGTTGATGCCAAGATGTGCTTGTGCATTTAATCTTGTGTCAAGCCCAGGCCTCTACTGATGGCTAAAAGAGGTGTTTTTTTAAAGCATATTTTTATTGAGTTCAGAGAGGTAGGGAGAGGGAGAGAGAGATAGAAACATCAATGATGAGAGAGAATCATTGATCGGCTGCCTCCTGCATGCCCCCCTTCCCCATTGGGGATCGAGCCCACAACCCGGACATGTGCCTTTGGCTGGAATCAAACCTGGGACCATTCAGTCCGCAGGCCAACACTCTATCCACTGCCAAACCAGCTAGGGCTAAATACTCTTTTTGAGCTTAGGGAATGCAGTATAAGATAAAAACAGTGTGTTTTGTTTTGTTTGTCTTTTTCTAAATGCTGTGGGAATTGAGAAAAACTACATACCTACCCATGCTTGAGTGCCCACAGGGAGCAGGCTTATGTGCGGTAGTGCAGGACAAAGGTGAATGTCTTAGTTCCTGAAACCAGCACTGATTAAAATGAACTATCAGTCTTATCATGGAAAATGGCAAAAGTAGTGGCAGCTGTACAAATTATGCTGTGATGCTTTTCTGTTTAACTTGTTTTGTAATAAGTCATTGGCTTGAATTTTGAGCTGTGTACTTTGGGTGTATTATAAGGAAGCTTTTAGGGAAAATACGTGTGCATGTGTGTGTGTGTACTATAGCTTATATAGCTTGAAATTTTCTGCAGAAATTTCGTTTCAGAACATTTTTTTAAAAGTTGTGATTTAGCCCTAACCGGTTTGGCTCAGTGGATAAAGCGTCGGCCTGCGGACTGAAGGGTCCCAGATTCGATTCCGGTCAAGGGCATGTACCTTGGTTGCGGGCACATCCCCAGTGGGGAGTGTGCAGGAGGCAGCTGATTGATGTTTCTCTCTCATTGATGTTTCTAACTCTCTATCCCT